TACTGCTGCTACGGCTACGGCTACGGAGACTGCCACTGCTGCTGCTACTGCTACTGCTACTGCTACTGCTGCTGCTACGGCTACGGCTACGGCTACTGCCACTGCTGCTGCTACTGCTACTGCTGCTGCTGCTGCTGCTGCTGCTGCTCCTACTACTACTACTACTACTACTACTACTACTCCTATGTGAAGGGTAGACTTCGTGAGCCTTCTGAGTAGATCCCTGTAGCCCCGTCGTAGCTGTGAGGTAGTTTACGTTTGCGAGCAGTTTGCGAGTGTAGTGTGTTTCTTTGTTTTGGCTCAAGCCGTGACCTGCGACCACGCGGGCAAAAGAGGGTTGCGCGCGTGTGTTTTGTGGTTTAGAGTAGCCTCGGAGAGTCCTCGCCTTGCACCTACTCCTACTACTCCCACTGCTACTCCTCCTACTCCTACTCCTGCTACTACTAGCCACCCCCCCCCCCCTACCCAGCACCTGGAGCCTAAACCCATCATCATCATCATCGTCACCGTCACCGTTGGTATTTGGACTACATCACGACAGTACGGAAAATGCCGAGCAAAATGGGTGTGCTCTTAAGCAGTGTTTAGGAGAGGTGGTTAGTAAGGGGGGTGGCCTACTAATGCCTACTACTTCTACTGGTCACTAGGACTACGACGACTACCACGAATGCCATGCCAAGCGTGTGGCTTCCTTTGCGACAAGATGCCATCATCATCACTTTGTTATCTTGGCAGTGGATTCCACTGCTGTCCGGCCCCAAACTCTTCAGGACCGCAGGACCTGTCGTCTCTCACGACATGTTCGGATCAAACAAAACGGGGAATGCACAGCTCCAGCCTTCAAGACGCCTTGAAGCCAACATGCGGCCAAGCGGCTATACTCAACCAGCACAGTCGTCAGCTCGAAGACGAATGCGGTCATGGTCATGACAGCCTGGGCATCGCATCCGCAAAGATAGATGCCAATGATACAAGGGTCTGTCACAGAGTCACAGAACATCTAGAGGATGTTACAGAGCCGCGATTAAACTCAGACAGTTCGAGTTTTGTACCTTTGAGTCTCCGGTTTGCGCTTGCGGCCCATCCGGATTGATCCGGTTCTGAGTCCTGAGAGGACTCTGACAGTCGTTGCGGCCTTCGAACGGCCTCACGTGGAAGGCAGAGTATGTTGAGTACCGCGGAAAACTACACAACCTTCGACCACGACAAGACATCGAGGTGGCGCGTCCGGGAGCGATCTTAGAGTTCAGGATGCCAAGTTCCCTCGAAAGCATACGTCCCAACAGTGTCCCAACAGTCTTTCAGTGACGTCCTGGGGGCGATCGTGTTTCGTTGCAAATAGCGGGTCCAGCTGCCCGAAGCCCTGAACACTAACACTGCTGTCGGACCTCTTTACGACATGAAAAGTGTGCTGATGCTAGGGTTGACAGATCAGCATGAGGAGGGTGAGGCGAGGTGAATTAGGATGCATGTCTGAGGTGCTGCCAGCAGATAGGCCCACGCCACTTGCGATAGTCCATCCTTGGGATGGCTTGAGACTTCGAGAGGAACTTTGCATCTGCCACGAGTCTTTCATAAAGGCTGAAAACCTAAGCATTCAAGGCTCTGCGTCTCGGCCGTCAATGAACTGCCATGTGGGGGCTATGTCAGAGTAGCCCAGACCGACGATACAGAACAGGATGATGAGTGCAACCGAAATGTCATTCCAGGTACCTCAGAGAGCAGTGAGTCTGCGAGTCCCAACAGAAAGGGTTACAGTGTTTTCTTCTGCGGCAGAGTGTCCACACATGCGCATGAGAAGGCTCAAATTGACTCCATTTGATGGCTCCGTCTTCCCCTTCTGGGGGCTGACATCTGCCTCTTCGTTATCTTCCATGGCCTCTGGCAAGCTCATAACTCGATCTCTGCTATTCTCTGCATGTCCTGCACTCAGGTTGCGGCCAGATGGCGCCAATCTTCACGAATCAGAACATGACTCTTACACTGAGGTCAAGGAAAATCCTGCTGCGGTGGCCGGCTCCACTTGCACCGGTTTTGATGTGGGGTGCGGCCACCAGACGGAACGATCTATGCTGGCTGACCTCCTTTCGAGGGGAAAAACGAGTTCTAAGCTTCTTGCTATGACTTCAATGCGCCAACAAGCGCAAACAATGAACATGACTAGCTGGTCGCTGAGAGCTGAATCGAAGCGTCGGATTCAGATGGAATCTCAGATTTCATGCATGGGTCGACATGAGGTGAAGGGTTCCTCGTGAGCGAAACGGACGGAGGCCTGGAGTGCTGTGCAAGTGCCTCAGACAGCAGACCTGTCACGCAGTCGGAAGAAGCCATGGCCCCCAGGACTCTGGCCAGGCCTTCTGTGTCACGCTTAGAGGTGGCCTGCGACAGCAAGCTCACCTCATTCGGAGATCTGAGCTTCCATCACGGAGCATAAGCCGAGGCAGACTATCTCCGACCATACGAAACTCATGAAACCACAATTCCAAGTGCTACAAGTAGGACCCTATACCAGCTGCCGAAGACGTTTGCGGGGGGCATCTTTCTGCAGTGTTCCCTTCTTGCTCAGGAGGCCCCTGTGTTGTGCACAGAGTCTAGAAGATGGTACCATCCGGACACTGCGAAGAAGGCAGTGTAACGCGTGCTTGCGCTTTTGTAGCTTGAGGAAAGCTTCTGCTGTATGTGGCAGCATGCACTCAAGACAGACCTGTCCCGCGTACTTGATGCCGTTCTCATCGCCGCCCCACCAAGAGGCAAAAGTGCCCGCCAACGAAAGAACACGGCGGTGGCAAGTGATAAGGTAATGTGTGCGAGGAGAGGTCCGTTGTGGCAGGGAAAAACATCTTGTTTTGGGATTGCAGGCGCCAAAGACATATTGTTGAAGTTGTGGATCTTGTGCAGCATTCCTTTTTCAAAGAAAATGCTCTACAGCACTTAAAGGCTTGGTTCAAGATTGGCTGTTTCACTGCGTCCCAAAATCCGAACACGAAGAAGCCTGAAAACAACCGCAGAGGGGCTGTCGACCCAAGCGGTTTCTGAGCTCTGCGGGAAGTTGCGGAATGTGGTTCGGTCTGGAAGAGCTCTGAAGCACAAACATGATGAAACAGCTAGCAATGACCATTTCCATTTTCTAACCATGCACCCCCCCCTAGCACCCCAAAACATAACAACCTATACCTCAACCCTAAACCCATCCAAGATCCATAGGTAGAACCCTAGGAATAACTCACCTGAAGATCCAAAACCATAACAACCTATACCTCAATCCCCACCTCACCAAAAAAC